CTTCTCAAGTGTGAATAGGTGAAAAACGCGCAAGTCAATCATTACCTTACTAAACAGTCCTGCCATAATATAAAAAATATATCAAAATTACGCATATATTAAATACCACAATTTACCAGACATAATGATAAAACTAAATGCAGCTTGATGCTACAGCTTGATATAGCATACATGAGATTACACATGCCATATCAGCAAAACAAACTCAAGAAAACATATATAACATGCCATAAAAACTTCAAAATATTTTAAGCTAGTGACACCCCCCACCTACCAAACAGATAATGTAGAAGTTACTGCTAAATTCTAGGCCTGCAAGGCCAGTGCTGCCCTCTGGATGAATTGGACATTACTATTATATCCAGTTAAAATTACTGAGAACGTTGTGGCAGATAGATAGAATTTGGACATGACAGGGAAGTTATTAATCCTAACCGTAATTTCTAGGACTTTGGCTTTCAGTCTTCTCTGGGCATGTCTACATGTCGCTGTATGACAATGTTGCTACGGCACAGTATGGGTGCTTACTGCATTACGCGTGCAGCGCACGGTTAGATCTTGCTGCTACGTCGCTGTAGCAGCACTCTATACCTGGGGAGTGCGCCGCTACAGTGATGTAGCTGGCGACCATGTGTAGACATGTTGCCGTAGGGCAATGTGTAGACATGCCTTCTGAAAGTAATACAGAGAAAACACACACTTGGACTTATTCTACTCTCAAATATAGCATCACAAGTTGAACATATTTTTGCTGTTTTCTCATACTAAGGCACTATGATACATTTATAGGATCAAATGTCAGTTTAAAAATTTGCCATCTAGTCAAGAGCCAGAATATATTATGTTTTTTGGGGACAACTCTTACCATATGAATAGGAAATAGTTAAATGGCTCAGGTTGAGCATGGATGAACACTTACAAATTAAAATATACATTTTAGAAAAAAAATCAACTCATTTGCAAATAATCTGAAACCAGAAAAAGGGAATATTTGAGTTTAATATGGTCATTTCACACTTCTAATTTTGCTGCCAATCCCAAAGTCTTGCTCTTGACACCCCTCTTGAACATATACACAGTTCACTGATACTATCTTTGAACAATAGTAACACATTTTGGAATGTAACCATTTTATTCTGTAGTAGCCCACATACAACAAATACATTCTTAAAACTATGATCTGAATGTGATCACTATTGTTTCTGTATGGACCACATCATTATCTATTTTTTCTGATTTTAAGTTAGAAAAGGTTGTGTGTAGAATGTGTCAGTAAATATGAATATTTATTGACAGTTAACAGGTTGGTAAAATGTATGCAACCTAAACCCCTGAAATGTATGTGGCATTGAGCCACCTATTGGTTGACTTCATAAAATAAACACTTAATTTTTTTTTAACTAATGGCATTTAAAAAGCTCCAATGGGTTGGATAAAGAGAGGAACCTGATTTGACACTAAGGATTCTAATCTATGGACCATGTCTTGACCACAATACTAAATATGCCGAGACATCTTATCTTATATGTTACACAAACAGCTGCTCTGCTTTGGAAAGGTACTAAACACATCACTGAAGGACTATTGTTGATAAATCTTTTTTCCTTTCACCTGCTGGACACATCAAATAACAAAATGGGGCTGAAGCATCCCAGTGGGGACATGCTACAGTTGAGAGGAAGA